TGCATGGAGCACTGGGTGTTGTCCGCAAACTATGAATCATGAAACACTACATAGAAAACTAATGATGTACTGTATAGTAACTAACATAAAATAAAAATTAATAATTAAAAATTAAAAAAAGGAAAAAAAAGATTTTCAAAATCTCTACACGATTTCACCAATTGTATTTATAACATAATTTCTTATTTTTTCTGAAATCATTTTGCCAAAAATTGAATTTGGTGGGTATAAATATAATTTTCCCCATTAAAACATTGGATGAAAAAAATAGTAAAATAAAATAAAGGAAAAAAATCTCCCACATGATTACCTCAATAGACGTAAAAAAAGCATTTTGCCAAAATCCAACGTCTTTTCATGATAAAAACACTCAACAAACTAGGAATAGAAGGGAAAATTGTGCAAAATTGTGAAAGTAGGCCCTTTCCTTACACCACACACAGAAATTAATTAAAAATGGATCATAGACCTAAGAGTGGGAGCTGAAACAGTGAAACTTTTAGAAGAAAACATAGGAGCATTTGTGACTTAGGTTAGGCAAAGCCTTCCTAGATATGACACAAGGAGCAAAACAACAAAAGAAAAAATAGAAAATTGGACTTCATCAAAATTAAAAACAATCTAATTTTTAAAGTGGGCAAAGAATCTAAATACATATTTCCTCAAAGAATATACACAAATAGCCAATAAGCACATGAAAAGATGCTGAATATCACTAATCTTCAGAGAATACAAATCAAACCATAATGAGATACTGCTTCACAAGCTCTGGGATGGCTATAATTCAGAAGTCACAACATAGCAAGTGTTGGCAAGGACATAGAAAAATTGGAAACTTCTTACACTTATACACTGCTAGTGAGCATATAAAATGGTACAGCTACTTCAGAACACAGTTGCAAATTCCACAAGAAGTTAAACATTTGATCCAACGATTACCATTTGTCATTTGACCCAGCAATTCCATTCCTATGTGTATGTCCAAAGGAAATGAAAATATGTGTCCACACAAAAACTTGTACATAAATGACTACAATCATTATTCTTGGTAGCCAAAAAGTAGAAACAATATAAATATCCATCAACTGATGGATGGATTATTAAAAAGTGGTATATCCATACAGTGGAATATTATATGGCATTAAAAAGGAATGAAGAAACGACACGTTACATGGATGAATTTTGAAAACAGGTTAAATGAAAGCAGCTAGTCCCACAAGACCATGTAGTGTGTGATTTTATTTATTTGAATGTCCAGCATGGATAATCTGAGCCTGGGGTTTGAGGGAAATGGGGAATAACTGCTAATAGGTATGGAGTTTCTTTAGGGGGTGACTAAAATTTATTTTTATGACATTAATAAAATCTTTCAGAAATAATTATTCTTAAGAACAGTTGCACTGGGTATTATATAAGACAGATGAATCACAGACCTGTACCCCTGAAACAAACAATACATTATATGTTAATTAATTGAATTTAAATTAAACAAAAGCAGTTTTTCAAAATAATATCTAACAAAATAAACTTGAATATACTTAAAAAAATTTTTTTTTTTACTTAGATTGGTAGCAGTTCCATTTTGGGTTCTCCTGAAAATAAGAAATATTGTGGCACAGACATACCTTCATTTATAACATCTGTGTACAATTTTCTTTATGTCATATTTGTGAAAAGTTCTTCTACTGAAAATCGTGGTTTCATGGCTAAATTCAGTTCTGCAGACTTGGGTAAGATACTGACATTTTCTCCTGCTTTGCATTTGGGCCGAAAAAGTGAACAGCAGAAATAAATTATTATAGAAAATTCATCTATACTATAGATGCGTAGTTATCGACATTATAAAAATTTTAAAGTACATTCAAAGGCAAAGAAAAAATATATTTCCTAATCAGTATATATCAATAGTTAACTGATTTCTATTAATAAGAGGAAAACTAGGTTTTCTTAAGTGGCATATGAGGAACATGTTTCTTTTTCAGCTTCTAAGAGGTTATGATCAGATTATTTTATTTTGAATTCCAGGTAGTTTGTTGGTTAGTTACTCTAATAATGATTATTATTTTTATTTCAACAGCATGTGGAAAAATTCTGACAGAGTCAACAGGAATCATTCAAAGTCCTGGCCATCCAAATATCTACCCTCATGGCATCAATTGTACCTGGCATATATTAGTCCAACCTGGCCACCTGATTCATCTGATATTCAGGGTATTTCATCTGGAGTTTCATTACAATTGCACAAATGACTATTTGGAAGTTTATGACACTGGTTCTGAGACATCTCTTGGGAGGTAAAAATATATATATGTATTTTAACTAAAAAATACTACCTGCTTTCTTGCTTTCCTACTGCAGTGAAGGATGTTAAAATCTACCATGTTGTGTTATAAAAACAAGTTGAGATCAACCCACTCCTCAATGACCATTTCTACATCAGTAGAAATTGGTCTTCAGTAATTAAGTTTCGACATATATGTATACCCATGAAAGCATTACCAAAATCAAGATAATGTACATGTCTATTACTCCTATAATTCCTCACTTCTGTCCCTCATCCCCATCCCCAGGAAACCACCAACCTTTTCTATCACTGTAAATTAATTTGTATATTCTAGAATTGTATAAAAATGGGATTATATTGTATGTACTCTTTTTTTGTCTGGCTTTTCTTAGCATAATTTTTTGTTGGTGTTGTTGAGCTTCTTGGATCTGAGGGTTTATAGTTTCATCAAATTGAAAATTTTTTGGTCGTTATTTCTTGGAATAATTTATCTGTCTCTTCTCCCCTTTGGGGACTCTGATTACAAGTATCTTAGGCCACTTGATATTGTCCCACAGCTCACTGAAGAACTCTGCTCATTTGATTTTGAGTTTTTTGTTCTCTGTGTGTTTCATTTTGGGAAGTTTCTATTGCTGTGTATTTGAGTGCACTAATCTTTTTTTCTGCAATGTCTATTCTGCTATAAATCCTACCAAGTGTATTTTTCATCTTAGATATTACAGTTTTCATTTCTGGAAGTTCAATTTGAATCATCTTTTATATCTTCCATGTCTCTACTTTGCACATTAATTTTTTCCTTTAGCTTATTTATTCTCTGGGATACAGTTATGACTGTTTTAATGTTTTTATCTGCTAATTCAGTCATCTGTGTCATTTCTTGGTGTGTTCTGATTGATCGGTTTTTCTTCTCATTATGGGTTCTACTTTTCTCCTTTTCATGCCTGGTAATATTTGATAGGATGCCAGACATTTTCAATTTTGTGTTTTTGTGCAGTGGACATTCCTGCATTTCTGTATGTGTTTCTGAGCTTTGTGGGTTTTTTTAAATTTAATTTCCAGTTAGTAAAGATACAGTGTAATATTAGTTTCAGTTGTACAGTATAGTGATTCAACCCTTCCATATAACACCCGGTGCTCATCACAAGTGCACTTCTTAATTCCCATCACCTGTTTAATACATCCGCCTGCTCCCCCTCCCTTCTGGTAATCATCAGTTTGTTTGTTATAATTAAGAGTCTGTTTCTTAGTTTGTCTCTCTCCCCCTCTCTCTCTCTTTTCTCCTTTGCTCATTTGTTTCTTAAATTCCACATATGTTGAACTTTGTTTTAGAAATGCATTAAAGTTCTTGGCAACAGCTTGATCATTTCTGGTTTTGCTTTCAAACTCACTTATTTATTGTCTCTTAAGAATCACTGTCCTTCATTGCTTGATATCCAGTGTCTTGAGATCCACTGATTTATATCTTTTTGTCCAGACCAGATTTTCAGTTGTTTCAGGTGAAAGGTTATATCGAGCCCGTTATTACATCTTTGTTGGAAATGGAAATCTCTTGATTTCTTTTTTATTTCTTCTTGATTTCATTTTCTTTTTTCATCCATTTTAAACATTTTCCCTTTATTCATTATTTTCTTAACTTTATTTCATCTCCTAGTATTATTCTCCCTCTTTATTTTTTCTCTTACTCCTAATCTTTTATTTTTAAAACTTTCTTCTTCTGAGTAAAATTAGTTCTATTTAGCAAAAATTTAACATGGCTTGGTAACCAAACTTTTACTTCTGCATAGGCCAGCTGTTTAAAGATAATAGAGTCCACCTCTATAGGGCTCCCTATTCTAGGCACTGTTCTCAGCCTCTTATACACAGTATATGAACTCATAAAATTCTCAAAACAACTCTATGAAGTCGGTGCTATAATGATACCCATTTTAGAGATGGGAAAACTGAGGCATCAAGGTTGAGTGATCTGCTTAAAGTCATAATGCCTCCAGAGTGCCTGGGTGGCTCAGTTGGTTAAACATCTGCCTTCAGCTCAGGTCATGATCCCAGGATTCTGGGATCAAGCCCCACATTGGGCTCTCTGCTCAGTGGGGAGCCTGCTTCTCCCTCTCCCTCTGCTGCTCCCCCTGCTTGTACTCTCTCTGTGTCAAATAAGTAAATAGATAAAATATTTTAAAAATATAAAGTCATAATGCCTCCAAGTGATGGAGTTGACTCTAGAGTTTGTGCTCTATGAGTTTATGGTATATGCTTTCCCTTTATTGTGTAAGTTTACACATTTTTATTAATAAGTTCATTAATATGCTATACAGTGACTTAGTATAGCTTACAATTTCTTGTTTGATTAAACTTCTTATGTATGAAAAGCCACACAGCTAGGTACACACATATAACCATTTCAGGGAAGTAACCATGAATAGGATGATCTTCAGCAACTTTGTAAATGTTTTGTGCTTGAAATATATTTGTTTTTAAAGGTTAATAGGGGGTATTATTTTTTATTTTTATCTTTACATGTCCTAATTTTTGGTACATCATTTCAAGTATACTAAAAGTTTTTAAATCTGTGTTCTTTCTTGGTTTCAAACAGATATTGTGGAAAATCAATCCCGCCCTCTCTTACCAGTAGTACCAACTCATTAATGCTTATATTTGTGGCTGACTCTGACATTGCTTATGAAGGCTTTTTAATAAACTATGAAGCAATTGATGCATCGGCAGGTAACAGAACAACATTGTATACTTGGTTTCACTCAGTCCATTACAAAATAGTACTATGAGAATACTTCATCCCTAAACCCGTGGCACATAATGAAAGCTAATTTAGAAAAGAGTATAGTGACTTCAATGCCTTCCTTATTAAAAATAATAATTAGACCACAGTATTGTATCAATGTTAAATTTTCTAATTAACATAATTGTAAGTGTTCTGTAAGAGAATGTTTTTATTCTTAGGAATGATACATTGATATTTTTAGGGGTAAAGACATGCCATGTCTCTAAAATATTCTCACTTGGTTCAGATAATAAGTGAATGAGTAAGTTAGAAAAAGAGACAGAGATAAAGCAATGAGGGCAAAATACAAGTAAGTAGTAAATCTAGGTAAAAAGAATTTGGGAGCTAGTTCTTACAACTTTTCAAGTTTAAAATTCTATCAAAATAAAAAGTTACTTATGAGACTGAAAGCTAATTTTAAGAAATTAGAGAAAGATTCCCTAGATGCTTATCTTTTAAAGCCCCCACCCCATAAATAAATAAATAAATAATTTATATATTATAATTAATTTATTAAAAACTTCCACTCAGAATCCCTTCCCAGTTTCTCATTTATTTCTTCTCAGAGTACCTGGACACTATATTTTATGCAAAACTGCTGTTCTCTGGCAGTTTAAGTTCTGTGTTTGGGTAGTATGGCTTTAGATTTCTCCAGAATCCTGAGTGTGAGTGATTCATGCACTTTTCTCTCCTGAGGGCCCCATTCCAGGAGACAGTTTATTATCCAGCTCAAGCACATGGGAAATTGAATCCCCAGCAATTACAATAGTTTATGTTAAACAGCTGAAGTATTCACTAGACTTTGTCCAGGTGTTTAACATCCAATGACCAAAATTGGCTTTTTAAGAAATTACAGTGTGCACACAATTTTCCATACTTCTGTAGTTTTATCTGCCTCATATATTTGGCACGAACCACACTGAATATTAGATTAGGATTTGAAGCGAGTCACTTGAACAATTTGGGCCACAGTTTTCTCATCTGTAAAATTAAGGAATTGGATTTGATAATCTTTGGGATGTCTTCTGGCTCTAATCAACTATAAATACAAGTTTAATTTGCTGCATGAATAAACTGGCTGTGTCTTAGATAACATACATGCTGGTGGGGCCTACTGAAAATATTATGGAAATCTTTGTAACAATGTGCAAAGTAAGACATAGCTCTGTAATGACTAAAGCAGCCCCACTAATACCACACTAGCTTATAAGGCAATAGCAAGTGCAGTAAGAACCAAGAGCAACCCAAATAATCTGGCAGAAAGGATATTAAAGTTAAATTTTAATTTTAAAAGAAGGTTTTCAGAAAGATAAAGTACAGGTAAAATAAAAGAAAGATGAGGAAAGGAAAGAAGCAAACTGGAGAGAAAAAGAAGCTGATAAAGAAAGGCAACACAGGACACCTGGGGGGCTCAGGTGGTTAAGCATCTGCCTTAGGCTCAGGTCATGATCTCAGGGTCCTGGGATCGAGCCCCGCATCAGGCTCCCTGCTCAGTGGGGAGTCTGCTTCTCCCTCTGTCCCTCCTCCTGCTCATGCGTGTGCTCTCTCTCTCTCTCTCTCCCCTCAAATAAATAAATAAATAAAAAGAAAGATAACACAAGAAAAGATATTTGACAAAAAGAGAAGGGAACCCTGAGATGGCAAACTCCAACTCTTCGATCTGCCTGATCTGCCTCCCTGGGTGATAATCATTACTTTGGCTTCTGTCTGGTCCAGACAGGGCTGAAATCACAGACAAGGGAGCATTCACTTTCTGTCTTTGGCCAAGCCTGGCTGCTGACTACTGTGCTCCTGCCCTTTGCTGGGTGAACTCATCGGTCTGACTAATAGTCAGATATTCTAACCAGCAATCAGATGACGGACCCAGGAAGCCATAAGGCACACTCAAATTACCGTTTTGGAGCCTGTTTCAGTTTCCCATTGGGCAGGACGTGAGTGAATTGGCTGTCATGAATTGTTGAGGGTGGCTTTGTAGGACTGTTCAGGGAGGGACTGATGTGGGGGTTGTGCAGACAACTGCCAGCCAGTGGGCTAACCCTCTAGGCAGTCTGAGTCCTAGGGGGCTGCCCACCTGGAAATAGAAGGTGTGGGATGCTTTGTTTTCAGATGTCACCTTATTTTTTGTATTTTCTGCAGAAAACAGTCTCAGGAAAAAGCCCCAGTGGAAGCTTAATCATTGGCCCTCATCCTATTTTATTCCTCTAGCAGAAGTTATTTTCAAAGCAATAATGACAATATTCGGTTGGTGATTTCTAGTTCACAGCAGGTGTGAGTTTCTCTGCTGAAGTCTTTCCTGTCTTTATCTGATAAAGGTTAAATTTCCTGACTTGAATCCAGTTACTTTTCCATCTGTATTTCATGCCATAGGGTTATGATGTCAGCTCCTAAGTATGTGTTTGGAAGGAAAGAGATCAGTTTCTGGTCGTTACTTGACACCCTCCTTCATCTCTTTCTCCCTGCGTCCAGATGTGCCTGGGGAAATAGAAACAAAAAACTAACCAGTAAAATGTTTCTGGGTAGATATTCTGAAGAATTTTTTAGTAACATTATGAAACTAGGTTTTACATGTTTGCTTATTTACAGTACAAAATATTTGAATTTCAAAAGAATATAGTTGATTAGCTAACTGACTTTACTATTTTAAATTGTAATTTTATATTCTATTAGCATCTCCTGCATATGTATTAAAATAATCTTACCAAGAGGAGACTTTAAAGGTATAAGAAAGAATAGAGAAATAAAGAAATGATGCCTTTCTATTTTACTATTAGATGAAAACCCATATAACGCTTAGTCCAATGTTTTTCAAACATTGCAACATTCATGCCTCATTAGTAAGGTCAACCTAGCAACTTACTAGGTTGCTATCTGCATTTGTTCAAAGTATGGAACAGAAAAAAGAATAGAATAGAAAGTATCAGTTTATCATACAAAGTTTGGTGTCACCTCATGAAACCTGTTTGCACACACAAACCCCACATTGGGCTCCATGCTGAATGTGGAGCTTGCTTGCAATTCTCTCTCCCTCTCTCTCATCCCTTTCCCCCTCAAGCCTCCCCACCCTGCATGCAAGATCACATGCATGCACAGCACTCTCTCTCCCTCTAAAAAAAAAGAAAGAAAGAAAGAAAAGGCATTTTTATGTTACATTTTGTATATGTTTATGTATATGTATATGTATATGTATATGTATAGCAACACATGAATTTCCTTTTGTGGAATTATATCCAATTTTAATTATTTGTGCTTTATTGCAAAGCAGAAGAGAAAACCAAAGCCTAGCATTAATATGTCTCAGTATTAATATTATTCTCAAAAGAGCCATTTATACTGTGAAGGGAAGAGAACATAAACTTTCTACAGACTTCAGTGTTAGATAAGAGGAGTTACTAACCTCTCCAGAAATAGATGCAGTAAGTTCAGAAAACCACTGTTTTTCTCTCCACAAAATCAGACATGTGAATCTCATAAAACTACAAATTTTAATATTAAATATTCTATTTAATATTTATAGCAGATGTACCTTCAAAATATTTTTTATTTCTCTATTTTAGTTTTATTTATTATTTATTAGATAGCTGAATTATTTATTGGCTTTACTTTAGAGAACTCAACCTGTCTTTGCATGGAACCTTCAAACTTTTAATATAACAGAGATTTTTATTTCATAATTTCATAAAGTAAAATTCACCTGTAGTGAATTAACAAATATGTGTATGCATGTAATCACTTCTCCATTCAAGATATAGAACAATTTTATCATCCCAGAAAGTATCCTAGTGTCCTTTTGATCGCTCCTTCTACATCCTCCATCTCAACAACTGCAGACCCAGTTCTTATCACTATGAATTAGTTTTTTTCTGTTCAGAAAACAACTATGAGTGGGAGCATGCAGTATATACCCTTTTATATCTGGCTTCTTTCATTTATCATAATGCTTCTGAAGTTTGTTCATATTGTTCTACTTATAAGTAGTTCTTTTTGTTTAATTGCTGAATTGCCTTCCATTGTATGGCTATATCATAATTTCGTTATCCATTCACCTATTTTTGGATAGTTGGATTGTTTCCAGTTCTTAGCTATTATGAAAAACAGCTGCTGTGAACGTTGATGTATAGTTTTTTGTGGACTTGGATTATCAGTTCTCTTTGATAAATACCTAAAAGTAGAATTTCTGGGTCATGGGGCGCCTGGGTGGCTCAGTTGGTTGAGCGACTGCCTTCAGCTCGGGTCCTGATCCTGGAGTCCCAGGTTCGAGTCCCTCATCGGACTCCCTGCTTGGCGGGAGTCTGCTTCTCCCTCTGACCCTCCCCCTCTCATGCTCTCTCTCTCTCTCTCTCAAATAAATAAATAAAATCTTAAAAAAAAAATACAGCAACAGAATTTCTGGGTCATATGGTAATTCTATGTTTCATTTTATGAAAAACTGCCAGGCTTTTTTTCCGAAGTGATTATACCATTTTATATTCTCCCCTGCATTGAAGGAGAATTACCCTCTCTCCACATCTTTGTCAACACTTGGTATTGCCAATCTTTCATGTTTAGCTTCTAGTAGTTGTGTAGTAGTGCCTCATTGTTGTTTTAATTCACATGTCCGTGATGACTAATAGTGCTGAGGACCTTTTCACATGCTTATTGACCATTTATACATCTTCTTGCTGAGGACCTTTTCACATGCTTATTGACCATTTATACATCTTCCTTTATGAGGTGCCCATTAAATCATTTGGCTCATTTTTATTTGTGTAATTTGTCTTATTATTGTCTTAAGTTATATATTCTGGAAACAAGTATGTCCCTTGTCAGATAAATGCATTGCAAATATTTTCTTTTTGTGTGAAGCTAGCCTTTTTTTTTTTTTCTTCCCTTAACGGTATTGTTTGAAGGGCAGAAGTATAATATGTCCTTTTTTCCTTTTCTTTTTTTTTTGAATCCTTATTTTTTTTTTATTCTTATGTTAATCCCCATACATTACATCATTAGTTCTAGATGATCTTTTTTCCTTTTCTGATTGGTGTTTTTTGTATATTGTCCAAGAAATCTGTGCCTGCTAAAGTTGTGAGGATTTTTTCCTGTGCATTCTTCTACGAGTTTTATAGTTTGAAGTTTCACATTTATGCTTATGATCCATTTGAGCTAATTTTTCTATATCAGATGTGAATTATGTGTCCAGGTTAACAAATGGTATTTAATTGTTCAAACACTATTTGTTGTGAAGGTTCTCCTTTTTTCACTGAATTGCCTTTACATTCTTGTTGCAAATCGATTGCTCATGCATGTTTGGGTCTGCTTCTGGAATCTCTATTCTATCCCATAGGACACTATAGTACAATATTATGTAATTGTATAGTGTATCTTAAAATCAGGAAATATAAGTCCTCCAGATTTTTCAAAGTTGTTTTGGTTATCCTAGATCCTTTACATTTCTATGTATCTTTTAGAATCAGCTTTTCAATTTTTACTTAAAAAACCACACCAAACCAAATCCAAACAAAACTTATTGGGAATTTGATGGAGAATATATTGAATTTATAGATCAATGCGGTGTCAAAGGGCATCTTAAATTGAGTCTGCCAATCCATAAACATATTTTACTTCTCCATTTATTCAAATATTTTAAAATTTCTTTCAGCAATGTTTTAAAGTTTTCACTATAGAGTTTTTACACATTTCCATTAAACTTATTATTAAGTGCTTTATGTTTTTATACTATTATAAATGATATTTTAAATTTCATTTTTCAGTTGTTTGGCTCATATTTGCAAGTTAAATTGTTTTTTGTATATTTACCTTGTATCCTGTAACTTTGTTAAACTCAGTTATTCTAGTAACTTTTTAGTAGATTACTTAGTATATTCAACATAGATGAGCATATCTGTCAATAAGAACAGCTTTATTTTTTCCTTTCCAGTCTCTCTCTCTCTCTGCCTTATTTCAATGGTGAGCAACTTCTGTATTATGTTGAATAGAAAAGATGAAATTGAACATATTGGCCTTGTTCTTAATCTTAACAGGAAATCATTTAATCCTTTATTACTTAAGTGTCATGTTAGCTTTGGGTTTTTCATAGACGCCCTTCTTTTGCTACTGTTTTCTTTTCAGCTTACAGAGCTTTGCACAGTGACAGTATTGTAGCCAGTGAAGTTTATCCGAGGCGCGATTATTGTTAATTGAAAACTCTTTTCAGCTTACAGAATATTTTTAATACTCCATTTTATTGCCTTCATTGACTTTTTAAATAAAGATTTTATTTATTTATTTATTTAGAGCATGAACAGGGGGAGGGGCAGAGGGAGAGGAGAGAGAATCTCAAGCAGACTCCTCTCTGAGCATGGAGCCTGACATGGATCTCCATTTCTTGACCCTGAGATCATGACCTGACCTAAAATCAAGAGTCTGATGCTTAACCGACTGAGCCACCCATGTGCCCCTCTCACTGACTTTTTAATTGTACCTCTTTTTTGTGTATTTGCTCAAGGGATAACAAAATGCTTTCTTAGCTTATCAGTAAGTCTGCTTAGAGTTGATATGCCACTACTTTACACTTCACACCTTATATTTTATAGCTGACACTATATTTCATACACTTCTCACTTCACAAATGTAATAACCTCACAACAGTATATAATTCTGTCTGCCTCTTCTTTATGCTACTTTAATTGTATCTTTTAATTCTACTTTATTATAAACTCCACCTTACTATTATTTTTGCTTTAAATGATTAGTTGTCTTTTAAAGAAATAATGAGAAGAAAAGCAATCTTTATATTTATCCAGTTGTTTACCATTTCTGGTTTTCTTCAGATACATGTTTCTGTTTGGTGTAATTTGTCTTTGGCATGACAGACATTGCTAGTTTTTCATGTAGTATAGGTCTTCTAGTGATGAATCTCTCAGCTTCTGTTTGTCTAAAAATGTCCTTCTTGGACTCTCGTCTTGAAAAACTTTTTCTGGTGGTACCTGGATGGCACAGTTGGTTAAACTCCTGACTCTTGGTTTTGGCTCAGGTCATGATCTCAGGGTCATGGGATGGAGCCCCTAGTTGAGCTCCATGCTCAGCGTTGAGTCTGCTTGAGATTCTTTTTTCTTCTCCTGCTGCCACTCCCATTCATGCTCTCTCTCTCTCAAATAAATAAATCTTAAAAAAAAAGAGAAACTTTTTCTGGATAATTGAACTTTTTTTTTTTCCTGTCAACACCTTAAAAATGTATTCCATTTTCTTCTTGCCTCCATTATTTCTAATTAGAATCCAGCTCCTATTCATATCATGGTTTTCCTGTATATAATGTGTCATTTTTCCTCTAGCTCCTTTATTTTTCTTGTATTTGTTTTTCAATAGTTTAAGGTACCCAAGTGTGATTTTCTTTTATTTATCTTGCCTAGGATTAACTAAACTCCTTGAAGCTAATTTGATTTTTTAAGCCAAATTTGGGAGAATTTTAGCCACTATATTTTTCTTTTTTACCTATTTTCATTATCTTCTCCTTCTGGGTCTTCAATTATATGTGTGCTAGACTACTTGGTATTTTTTTCCTAGGTTTTGAGAATCTGTTCATTTTTCTGCACATTTTTCCTCTTTTTTCTTCAGATTAAATCATTTCTATTGATACACCTTCAAGTTCAATGATCCTTTTTCTTCTACCTCAAAGTTTCTATTAAGCCCATCCATGAATTTTTAAATCTGTTAGTATACTTTTTTTTTTTTAATTTCAGTAGAGATAACATGCAGTATTATATTAGTTTCAGGTCAGTTGGTATACTTTTAAGTTATGGAATTTCCATATGATTCTTTTAATAGTTTCCTTTGTATTGCTAAAATTCTTTATTTATTTACCATTGAGGCTATATTTTTCTTTAAGTCTTTGAGCATATTTCTAGTAGTTGCATTAAAGTTTTTGTCTGCTAGTCTAATATCTGGGCCATCTTTAAGTCACAAGGTCACATTTTTTTCTTGACTATAATTTATATTTCTCTGTTTATTTGTATTTGTATAGCAGTTTTTGAGTTTTATACTGGATATGGTGAATGATATGTGTAGATATTCTGCTTTCTCTTCCCTTTCTCTGAAGCTTTATGGCAGATCAATATTTAGCTGATTACCTTGTACTTGTATAGATCTGTATTTTTTATTTGTTAAGGCAGATTTGTGAACATCCCCAGGTGTTTCCTAAGCCCTTCTAAGTAGGTAGGTCTCAACCTCCAAGTTTCATTGCTCCTGCAGGTATTTTCAAGACTTATACTTTAGTAGGGAAACCCTAGAAAAGCCTTACTCTTGGTCATGGTCTTCATTTCTAAGGTGTGGCCTTTCTGGTTCTCAAGTGGGTTCTTGGCATGTAAATGAGGGGATTCTGATGAGGGGGAGAACTCCATAGTCTCCCAGCATTTCCTGGCCTCTGGCTTCCAGCCTAGTAGCAGCTGCTCTCTGGCATGCCTTTTGAACTCACCTCATGTATGCCCAGCCCAGGCTCAGGCAAGAATACATAGGGGACTTTACATAGATGGCTGGTCCTCCTCTCTGTATAGTTACTCCTTACTGGAGCATTTTCCTGCAGTTCCAGCTCCTTTCACATCCCTAAATTCAGATCCCTGCTTCCTCAGCTCAACAGAGCTGTCATTTACTACTTGGACTTCAGCAAACGGCTGCAATCAGAAAATTATGCATAAAGAGCCAAGGAAATAGAGTCCCACCTCATGAATCTTCTGTCTGTCAAGGATCACAATCTTGAACTGCCCATTGCCCAGTGCCTCACATATTTTGTCCAGTTTCATAGTTGTTATGGAGAGGGGCTAGTTTAGTGCTAATTATTTGTCATGGCTGGAAGCAGAGATTTCTAGTTTAGATTGAATAAACATGATAAAATATTAAAGAATCTCAGCTTCCTCAGGAGAGAGAGAGCAGGAACATGAGGTAAGAAAAGTGGAGGGGTTAATAGGATGGGGATAGAGAGAGCGGGAAGAAATTAGATACTTGTCCCACCCTCTCAGTTTTCAATACATTATGTAATAAATTGTTAACAAATATTTATTAGAGGTAATCTGGGCCAGATAATGTAGTGACAGTTAACAATTATTAATAAGGTCCTGTTTATATTTCCAGACATAGTGGAGGAAATGTACTCCCATAAAAACAATCACAATACCATATTTTGGGGGCTCAAATTGCTATTCAAATAAAGTTTTATTGAGCGCAACAAAATTAACTCTGCTTGATCTGAAGAAGTTGCACAGAGGAAGTGATTTTTTTTTAATATTTTATTTATTTATTTGACAGAGAGAGACACAGCGAGAGAAGGAACACAAGCAGGGGGGAGTGGGAGAGGGAGAAGCAGGCTTCCTGCTGAGCAGAGAGCCTGATGCGGGGCTCGATCCCAGGACCCTGGGATCATGACCTGAGTTGAAGGCTGCTGAAGGCAGATACTTAACGACTGAGCCACCCAGGCGCCCTGATGTTTGACTTTGACCTTAAATGATGTATGAGTTTATTTGTTTAATGGTGTGTTGGGGTAGAAGGGGAAGTTGTTAGAGAAAGCATTTCAAAGTGAACAGCGTGAGGACCATTTGAATACATAAGGGACTATGTTTACCTTTGTGCCAGAAAAGAAGCTTAATGAGTCAATCAAAATCTCAGTAGGGATTAAAAAACAACCACCAATTGTTCCACAATAGTCACTTGCATATGTACAAGGTACAGCGAAATAAGTCATCATTATTTCTCAAATATTTGTTGAACTGGTTCCTTTACATGAGATCCCGCTTATACAAACCATTCTCCTGCAGAATAATTGCAAGTTGCGTTAGAAATATTCAATACAATTGTATTTCCCTTCTGGGAGTAGAGTGGGTAAGCAAGGAAATGACATAAACAGATTTGCTCTAGATATTTGATTGACTGGCTAAATCTATCTGAATGTGGGGGTGGTCAATGAGTCTTCCAGTTCTGTCAGCTTAGGGAGACTGGGTCATAACCTTCATTTAACGTCCATTTCATCCATGAATTTTTATCTTAGTAATACTCATTACTGATATGAAATACTTAATAGACCACTTCTACAACCCCCTTCTGTCTGCCCCTCTCTCCCCCAACCCTGCCTTCTTCCTACCCTTTCGTATTCTTCCTTCCTTCCTTCCTTCCTTCATCCTTGAAGAAATATTTCTTGGCAGACTGTAGAAAAGTATACAATATTCATATTTGAAGTTAAATGGTTTTTTTCAATAAAGTAAAGCCTTGCTGGCTTGTTGTTTAAAATACAGTAAGCCAAATATTTGATGAATGCCTGTTACTCTGAGGGTTATACATAGGTAGTAGAACTTGTAATATTTTCTATGCATCTCTGTACTCTCAATATCAGTGGCTCCTCTCTTCTGAGTATGATTATACAGCAGCAAGTGGGAAATTACACATCAAAAAAATCCTCATTTTCTTTTTTTCACCCATAATAAAGTATAATAGTTTATTCGCCCTCAAAACCTTTTAGTAGCAGGCCTGTGTCTACTCCTGGACCCTAGATTTATGTTATTACTAGATATAATTGAAGGTACATTAAAAATACATTGAAACTGGATTTTCTTTGGAAAATATTTCAGATTTGAAGGGCATAGGAGATTGAGTGGGTTGGTTAGTAAATATAGAGCTTAATGGACTGGGTAGGTAAAGTTAAAATTCTTAAAGTAGAACAGTTAAAATTGAATTACAACATGAAATTGTCCAAGTACTATTTTTTTGAAGATTTATTTATTTAAGAGAGAGAGAGAGAGAGAATCTCCAGCAAGCTAGATGCGGGACTTGATCCCATGGCCCTGAGATCATGACCTGAACCGAAATCAAGAGTTGGATGTTTAACCGCCTGAGCCACCAAGGCACCCCTCCAAGTACTACCTTAATGTTTTATGTGAATGATCTAATTTATTCCTCATCATTTATGCTCTACTTTTTCTACACTTTTCTGAACTATTTTGAAACTTAAGGATGATTACTACCATTTATTGAGCACATACCATGTGCCAAGCCATTTAATTGCATTATCTCTAACACTTATATGTATAGTCAAAGATAGTTACCATCCCCATTTGGGAGATGAGGCTCAGAGAGGTGAAGTAATTTACCCAAGGTTGCATAGCTTGTCAATGTGTGAGCTAGGCATTGATTCAAGATCAACCTGATTCCTGACACCTTCTATTCTTCACATGGTTGAGGTACCTGCTTTGTCATTTCTCATAAATGCATGCTTTGATGAAAAACATTTTAAAGGAAGGTTTTAAAAAGGAGAACAGAACTGAATTATTTCTAGCACCCCTCTATGATTTCCGTGGTTGAGCCTAATGTTTAATGTTCAGGGTAATATGCATGGATGAAAAAATTATAACACTTCCAAGATCTAAAAAGTTATGATATATGTAACAATTTCTGCTACATAGCTTAGGTTTACTATGAATAATTATTTTTGCCTTTGAGATTAAAAAAAAAATCTTTGTTTTGAAAGGAAATCATTCTTTAACATTCCAGAATGGCCTATTGAAAATCAAGTACATTGGCATAAATTAATGAAATATGTATTACTGAATGTCTTATAAATATAGCATGATATTTTCTCTTTTCTATCTTATGCTCTATTTCTTTCCATAGCATGCATGGAAGACTATACAGAAGAGTCTGGGACTTTTACTTCTCCAAACTTCCCTGATAATTACCCCAACAATTTGAAATGCATTTATAGGATCACGGTGGAAACCAGCCAACAGATTGCATTGCACTTCACAAATTTCTCTTTGGAGGAGGCCATTGGTGGACACTGTATAGGAGATTTTGTGGAAATCAGGTAAGCACGTTTATTTCATCACCTTTTTCCTTATTGGTTTTCATTCATAATCTTTCCTGGAAAGGTTAAGGAAAACACATGGAAATTCTCTGTAAAGCCCTCTGTTGTGCTCTTTCTTGCAAGATACAAAGCTTGTCATGTGGAGCCAGAAGAAAACTGGAAAATTGCGTAAGATTCAGTGGTTATTTTGAAGTGATTATTTTATTGAGAATATTTGAAAATAAATTCCAGATTTTATTTGAACAGATTAAACAGATGTACTACTACTCTGAAATTAGATACTTGCAATTATTGAAAACCTACTTTCTTTATGGAAAATCAATTTAAATTTTAGGCTGTACATTATCCATTTGGTCTAATTATATCACAAAAATGATGGTAAGATAACAACCTTAAAGTTTTTGCAAATTTTTTTGTGTTCAAATAATAAAAGTCTAGGCTTGTGAATTTTTTTTCTTTACTTCTTTGTTATTTAGAGACAATGAGTTTTAAAAGTTATATTTGCAGTAAAAGTAAGTTAACTTATATACTGCTATCTACCCAGATCATTACATTGAATTAAATCAGGCTAATCAGCTTGGTGTGTATTTGGTTAAATTTTTTATTTGGCCTTTCGAAAGCCTAGAATATTATATTTTTTTTACAATAAATTTTATTCTATGATGTAAAGTGAGATACTAAAATAATAAATCACAATTGTATCATATCATGCCCAAATAACATAAATTTCTTAATTTACAATAATTAATCATTAGATTTTAATATTGAGTGAATCTCCCCATTTATTTTTGGCTTGAAAAAGCTACAAATTACAAAGTAGATATAAGACCCCCAAAAATTCTTGGGGAAGAATCATTTTCAAAATTTTGCTAAATAGGTCAAATGTAACATTAAATTTTGAAAAATTCAAATTAGAAGGAAAGTATTTTAGTTTTCTCTGTAAAATTAAGCAACATTTGTTTATGCTGTTAATAATTATGGTTTCTTTATCCCATTACATATTATCTATGTAATTTCTACTATTCATTCTCCCTGTGTTCTGTGACACATTTGCCAGATGCTTCGTTTGAGAGGGAAAAGATTAAACTCTTTCTCTCAGCTTGAAATTGGTTATATAAAATGTCCCGCGAACCAAAAATGATGTTCCTTATTAAGCTATTCACTGTTTAATAAAGTGAAAAATTGAAAACTTGAAATTGTGACTTAGAGTATTCTTAAGAAAGTTTGACTGACATAAACTGATCTGTTTGCAATCTCAAAGTTCAAATAATATTAAATGTTTATACGGTAATTTTATCAATAACCAATAAATGATCACATCTGTGTTTTGTCACAGAGATGGAGGCTATGAAAGTTCACCACCCCTGGGAACATACTGTGGCTCAAATCCACCTCCAAGAATCATCTCTCACAGTAACAAACTATGGTTACAATTTAAGAGTGACTTCCTTGGCTCAGGGCCTGGATTCTCAGTTTACTGGGATGGATCATTGACAGGTAAATGGCAAAGAGCTGTCTTTTCTTGGAGAGTCCAGTCGGATTGGTTTCTTGATTCTTAGACTGCCATGCTCTCATCCATTTTATTCCAGCTGTATTTTGTCATTACTATCTGTACTAAACTTCAACATTGCAAATATTTCTGAATTAACAGCAGCTGTTTTGGTTTTGTTTTCGAGGACAGAATAAGGGGAAATGTCCTGGTTCCATGGTGTATTTCCTCAAGCTGGTCATCTTGGTTAGCCGAAGGAAAGGACATTGAATAGGCTAGCTACTAAACAAAACTGCATGTGGAAATGCAGTTTTGTTCTGTAACAAAGGAGAGTAACAGTAACCACAGTTTGATATGGGCAAGAGAATTCCATTTTACCATGAAGAAAAAGATATGGGTCATCTCATCTCTTTCTCCTATAGGTTGTGGGGGCAATCTCACGACTCCCACTGGTGTGTTCACTTCTCCCAACTACCCAATGCCCTACTACCACAGCTCCGAATGCTATTGGAGGTTGAAATCCAGCCACGGCAGCCCATTTGAACTGGAATTTGAAGACTTTCACTTGGAGAATCACCCAAACTGCATGTCAGATTATCTGGCTGTATGTATGAAGTTCAGTGGTTCCTTTCACTACTCTCATCTCACTCACACATATCAATGCATTTATTTTTATCTTTGAAATTCGGGAAAGGGGAACACTTAAGCAAAATATCCACATAAAAGTTTCAAACAAAAGAAAAAAGAAAATGTGATGAAAATGACAGCCTTTTAAGTATGACATGTATTACTGAATGGATTGGTACACTAAGTATTTAAAATATATTGAATATGGGCTGTTAAGATATGGTTAAAATCTCCCAAAGGGGTAATTTCTAAATATTCTTTAAAAAATAACAATATAGAGGACTATATTGGTGAATTAGAGAAGATAATTAAAGTCATCCAGGTAGGACTTTATAAGTAGCAGCAATCCATCCTTGTCCATTAAAAAAAATCTAAATAAAAATGTATTAGAATGTCATAAATTATAAACTCTGAAATCAAAAACAGGGAGAACTACTGAAAATAGCTATGGTCTCAAAAATACGCATTATTTTTCTTTCATTTTCATTCATGGCCCAAGTTCACTACCTAAGTTTATAGACATTTAAATATAATTTTTAAAGATATTTTGATTCAGGGCTCTTCTTTTGTTATGTCATGCATTTCGTGTATTTTCCCACTTCTTAAGCATTAGAGTCCTTTAAATAATGTTTATGGCCACAATCATCTGACATTTAAAATGTTTCATTAAAGGTATATGATGGCCCAAGTACCAGCTCTCATTTGCTAAGTCAGCTTTGTGGGAATGAAAAACCGCCTCTCATCCGTTCTAGTGGAGACAGCATGTTTTTAAAATTCAGGACAGATGAAGGTCAACAAGGAGGTGGCTTCCTAGCCAAATACCAGCAAAGTAAGTATGCATGCTGGCTGCTCCATGCCTTTGGTGGGTCTTCAATCTCCTGATAATGAAACAAACGGAAATAACTATAACCCATTGGTTTGAACAATTGAAATAAATCTTTGCTCTTATGAGAAAGACTTAAATCTATTTGAGAGAAAAATGCATAGCATTAAATTTAATGCCATATAACTAAAGCATGGGGTCAGCTGTACAAAATGGAATATTTAATATGCTGAGAGAGTTGCCATTTGGCTAAAAATCAGCATAGCAGGTTAACAGCGAGTGGGTTTTCATTTGTATCAAACATTACAATCGTCTAATTAGACGTTATTCCATTGCACATAGTATCTCCCACACTATATTTTTTTTTTGGTCTTGTACCTCAATTTTTATTAAGGGAAACTACATTCTTATAAATCAGATGTAAAGTCAGCATATTCTTTTTTTTTTCAAGATTTATTTATTTATTTTAGAGTGTGTGTGAGAGAGAGAGAAAATGAGGAAGTGGGGGGAGGGGCAGAGGAAGAGGGAGAATCCTGAAGCAGACTTCCTGCTGAGCACAGAGCCCCAGGGGGAGCGGATCCAGGACCCAGAGATCATGACCTGAGACCTGAGTGGAGGCTCAACTGACTGAGCCACCCAGGCCGCTAGCACATTCTTTATTGTGGAAAAATCTGGTCATTGTAGAGATGTCATTTTAAAATCTACTTTCCTATGAGGCCATGTATTAGAATTAAAGGAATATTGTATGAAGAGTCAAGGGACCCAGGAGTTTATCCTGGCCCCTAATCTCTGAGATCACTTTTCTTCTGAGGTTCCATGACTTCTTCTCTTAAAAAAAGAGAGTAAACAAGGCCATCATTAAAGCTCCCTCTAGGTCTAGAATTAAATACTTTTTTTTTTTTTTT